CTACCTCCTTAAATTTAGTAAACATCCATCCATCTTCTCCTGTGGATTTGAAAGCAGCTTGTGAGTGCTAGGGCAGCTATTCATCACCTAGAGATGTTTCTTGAGATCTCAGAATAGTGCCTTTTCTGGCTAGAAGAATTAGAAATGAAAACCAAGGATGGCAAATTATTTCTCAAAATTCAGTTGATCAGAACTTCAGTTTCCCATTCATTTTAATACAAGATAACACTAACAGCAAAAGTTTAGCAGCGCATGTTAAGGCAATGTCTTTGTCAAAGAAGAGCCAAAAACAAAGGCAAAAAAGGGAATTTGTAGAACAAGGTGGGGTTATGGGCTTCACCTTGATAAGAGAGTCGTCTCGGATCAATTTTGCAATTCGATTATCACTTTCTAGCCTTGTTCCCAACAAGAAGAAATCTCACCTGCAAAAACTGTATGGTGGTTGCTATAGAACCTGGACAGAGATCAAGAGGTAGAGTCCAGAATTTTCCAAGAGAATTTTTCTTGTAGTTTTTGAAGCATCATCTACTTCAGTAGGTACAGCTAAAAAGAAACATTTTCTTCCCTTCAGACGCTAGCAAGAAATGTGCCTGTGGAAAAACCATTAGCTGAGGAATTCTGCAGCAAATGAGATCAGCTATATAAATCATCTACTAGACTCATTCAGGTTGTACTCTTGAAGTTGAGTTGTATAGGGAAAGAAGCAAATCTACAGAACCAAAAGTACGAGTGTTTGAGAAATGGACACAGATTTGTTGATGCTTACATTGAATTCAAGAAATTGAAAAAGCAGATATGTCAAACTTAACACCTAAGTTGCCAACTACTCTGTTGTCCATAGTTTCACCTTCAGGAGGAAATTTGCCGAAGATTGAAACATATGCATCAGCTTAAAAAGTTGTTCCAGAGCTCCAAACACAGTAATTTCAGAAATTCACATCTTGGCAACTTTCCAGTTCTAGGTAATTACTAAATTGTTTATGAATATAACAAAACTTGGTGCTAAGCATGAAATTGGACCTCCATCTATGACACACGATTACTCAAGATGGTGTGAATACATTATTAATCTTTCTTGCGCAGCCTCTATGTTTTGCATAAATTTCCTATTTCAAATGTTCCACAATCAACAAAGCAATATAGTATTCTATTACTCGTAAATTAAGTAGCCTACAAGCCAACACACACAGGGAATGCATCTTAAACCATATTATGCATGCATTAATATTTCCAGAACAAATGTTCCCAGCTGCTTAAAAAGGTTAACTATTCCAAGTGACAATCATTTTCTCATGATGAAACATAATGCTTTGATGAACAAACTTTTGGAACACTCAAATTAGGATGACAACTTTAGATTATATTTTAAAAATGTAAGACAATATTACCTTTTGTTAAAATAAGTTCCTGAAAGACAAAAAGCAGCTTCAACCTCAGAACTACCCCTCCATGCTTCCTTTCTTATACAACAGTGTGAGTTGGCCTTTGTTACTATCACAGCTTGCAAAAGTTAAACATAATCAATAGTTATCCGAATTCAACTTGCAAAAGTTAAACATAATCAGTAGTTATCAGAATTCAGCTTGCAGAAGTTAAATATAATAAATAGTTATCAGAATTCAGATATTGTCGTCAAGGAGAATCAAAGGGGCATAACTTACCAATATGTGCCATAACTATCATTTTCAGTAGCCCTCAAGATTGTCACCAGTTTTTATTATCTTCCAAGAAGAATAAATAGTTTTCTCAAATGTACTTCATTTCTCAATCAGCCTTCAAAACACTCTCGGACTTTGTGTATAAAAAAGTATGTTTGAATTACTAAGCAGAATTCTATTTTTACTTTGATCAATCAAACTTAATTCTCATATCAGTTTTATTTCTTCTATGTTTGGGGACATTTTTTCAACAAAATAAAAAAAAAGGAAGAAAAGTTCATGCTTGTGGTATATTTAGGCACTGAAGGTCACCTTTGCCAAACAGATTCAGACAACTACCTATTTGTCTCCCTATATATATATATTTTTTTTTGGTTAAGAAAGGAAGTATCTATCAATTATAAACTTAGGAAACTGCATGTTTGTAAAATGCTTTGTGGATTCAAAATTCAGTCTATTGAACAGTAGTTTACCCATCTGTGGTTTGCTCAAGCACTTCTGTGGGGCTAGCCAACTGTACTGTCATATAAAGAGAAGTTTTTTGCATGATTATTTAATGTTCCTACTTTCTATGACCAGTTCAAAATATTTCACCAAAAAAAAAAAAAAAAAATTCTAAGTTTTCGTAATTTTGTTTCATGAGAAGTTCAATTAAAGATCAAAGTTCTAAATTTTGGGCTATCCAAACAAACAGGGTACCCCATATACCAATATGAAAAATCATTACCAAGTCATTTATATAGTGAATTGGGGTTGTATGGTTGAGCTCAACTATCATCTATCTCCACACATTAAATAGTGGAAGCACAAATTGAGAACAATATTCCAGCCTTGATTTTATCTAGCATATATTTCATCTGCAAAACTAAATAAATATATAGATACATATGGCTAGAATAGCTGCTATAGAAATTCCAATTGAACATCAGAATGAGTAATTTTATAATCGATTCACATAGTTGCTTACCAGTCTTGCAAATCAAAGTAAGGAAATTAAAGCACAAAAAGATAGTGATGAGCAGCCGTTTGAGAAGTAGCAACTCAAATTTCTTCTGGACATTAACTGCATGAAATCCCGTCATTTATCAGTCAACACCAACGATAATTGCACATTGAACCAGCTTCAGTTGAATCAAGTGGAAGTAAATAATAATAATAATTGGTAGATTAGATCCAAATTGTTCACAGGGCGCTTAATTAGCCGACTCACTATATAAATTCATGTACTTCAGTAAGCTATATGTTACACAAAATTCAAAATCAATGAACAAAAAAAGACAAAAAGCCTAAAAGCTTAAAAAGAATTCCCAAATTTTTAGAACCAACTCAATAGTTAAGAACTAGGCAAATCATGGTCCTTTGAGATGGATTTCAAAATCTAAAAGTGATTTTATCAGTAACAACAATAAAATGATGATCAAGTATCATATCCTAATGCAACAATCAGACGAAAAGAAAACTCTGAAAACGTTTCCACCTTTTTATTATTTTTTTTATTAGAGAGACCACAAAAATTTATTATTCTTTGAAAACTAAAAGGTCCTCACAGCTTTAGTGTTCCCACAACTAAAGCAGTGGATTTTTCTAAATGTCATATTTCCATTCTCCATTATCAGTAGGAGGACCCACAAATCATTTGTATCCAAAAAATTGCATTTAGAAACAGAAATGGACAGTATTTTGCATTTCAAGCTACATTTAGTAGCTCACAAAAACACAACTAACACCAAACTGTGCAAGGCATCTTAACCAATACGACACAGTATAAATATTTTCATTGCTAATGCTCGTAGACTCCGAAAAAAATATTTTAAATGAAATATCATGACAAAACTACTTATATTCAAACATTGTAGACTAAATTTTTTATGAATGCACAGTCAGACTACATGAATTAATTTAGATTTATTCTAAGAAGGTGTGACAATACTACCTGCTGTGAGTTAACCTTTTCCACCATCGCGCTTCTGACTTTAAACATAACCCCAAGCAATTGGAAATGGGAGATAGCCATCAACCTCAAGATCAGTTGCACAGACCTATCCTCTTCGAATTAGCAATATATAGTTTTAAAAATTTACTCCATTTCTTGGTCAGGCTTCAAATCTCTCTAACTTTATCTGCACAAAAAAAAAAAAAAGAAAGAAAAGAAAAGAAAGAATGTTACTAGTATTGGCAAGACTTGTCAACTTTTTAACATAAACAGGAATCTGATCAATTACTAGAAACACCAGAAACAACAAAGTCTGTAGGACTTATGCTTGTAGGTTTATACATTGTTAGTTGAACGGACTGCTAACAATTCACTTGAAATATAGGTAGAATATTCAGTAGAATACTATTGACAAAATTCTATTAAGTTTTCTTTTCACAATGATGAAGAAGATGAAGGAGGCATGGAGGAGGCAAAGTCTGACGGAAGCATCTGCGGACTCAGAGAAGAAAGGATAAAAAAAGGAGCCAATGGCTCCTTTCAACATAGTTTGAAATTTGGTGTCTGATAGAAATTCAAAAGAGGAGTTTGTCAATGTATATATAAACATTTTTAAGTAGTTAATTACATAATTAAACATACACAGTTACACAAAGAGTAACTTAATTAAGCAGTTAATTATGTAATTAAACATACACTTAGTCACATGAAGAGTAACAGAATTGCGTCAGAAGCATTGTGATTGTTCAAGTTGAAAGAATGCATTCCTTTGAAGAGATAGTAAATGAGAAATAGTAAACATGCAAATTCATTTATTGAATCGATGAAGCTGGACCAATATACAAAGATGAAAAAATAATTAAGGTTGAATGGTCAATAAGTTGAATTCATTGAGAGTTTAAGTCGGAGGCATGCAATGATACATAGCGTTTTGGAACATTATTTGTTTATTTATTTAGTTACAAGAACATTATTTCTTTAACAAATAATTCACATTTATTGTTAACAGTGTGTCTGGTACAGGAATTTAATGTGAAAATCAAATGATTTTAATTCATACTTACTGTTAATTTGTATAATTTTTTTCTTCTGGCAGAACAGAAAGCATAGTTAAAAAAAAATGTCCAGAACTCTAGAGGTCCATCTTGAGTTCTTTAAAATCCCTAGAAATTGACTAAAAAACTGCAAAAATCCCAGGATTTTTTTTTCTTGTGCTAAATACCAATTGACAAGCCCAAAATCACTGGAATTTTGAGTTCCCAAGCACTCCCCAAATTTAGCACGAAAATTGAATTGTATAAATAGAAATTCAAAATTCCAAAAAAAAAAAAAAAAAGCAATGATTATAACTAACCTTTTTACCTGAATCACTTGAGAAGTGGGAGTGTTTCTGATTATGCGTTCCATTCTCATTGTTCTACGCGGACTTCAGGTATGAGGTGGATTAAGGGCCAGTATTTGCCTTTCCCTTTTTGACACATCACTCCTAATTTTGCACAATCAACGATCCAAAGCATCAACAAAGTGCAAGGTAACCCTTGCTTTGGAAAGTATGAAAGCATGGGGCATTTCTCAATATAAAGCCATTCAAGAGAAGTGAGTTGTTGAAACTGGGGAGATAGAGCCTCCAGATTGTTGAAATAACGGATCACCAGGGTGGTTAGAGAGGTGGGCAACAGCATGCCATGGAATGGAAAGCTAGTCCATTTCTTATCCACCTCCATTTGTTTTGTTTCTGACTCTTCAATAACAATGGGCCCAATTAGACGAAGAGTTTCAAGAGAAGAGAGTGTATGTAGACCCCACTCTGATGGTGGCATCCTTGTATTCACCTTATCCAAAGACAGAACTGTGAGGTTAGAGAGGAAATTGTTTTTCTCCATTAAAAACGAGACTTCAATTCCTCCTTTGATATGGAGACATTCAAGGGAAGTGAGCTCCGCATTTGATAAGAGATCCGACAATAGTAGTTTCTTGCGATTTGAAATTATCAATTCTGTAAGATTGGTTGGAAGGGTGAACCATGCTTGGGGAATGCGCTCTAGATTTCCACAATCCAATATATATAAATGACTCAGCCTCTTGAGATTATTACTGTCATTATATTGTCCAAATTCGCATCAGGCAAGAATTTCAAGCTTCCACAATCAATAAGTGCAAAATACTCGAGACACGGAAAGCTGACAAGTCCTTCTTCCTCTCGTAGCAATGCTAACATTTTTTCACAATCGCCAATCCGAATGTGTCTTAATGTCGATGGTAACCTAGCGCTTGACGGTATTAAGTACTCAAGTGATTTACAATGCTCAACTTGTAAATCCTCAAGATTATTCCATCCAGGCAACCACTTCAAGGCATCGCATTTCACAATATAGAGTTTTCTCAATGTACAAGGAAAACCATGCACTGGAAAATTCACGAGATTGTGGCATCGACATATAGTTAGCTCTCTAAGAGACATGAAGTTGTGCAATCCCTGTGGCAATGTCTCTAACTTTTCGCATTCACTTATTAACAAAACCTCAAGCCCAAGCAACACATCAAGCTGCTGTTGCTCTTGCCTTTTGCTTTCATATTCTTTTCCTTCAAACAAGGAAACAAGCAGGCTGCATGATTCAATCTTCAAATGCCTAAGTCCTTGCAGAGAATGTGCCAGCCTCCCATTGTTCTTCCATAGCGTTAAAAGTCCATCACATTTTCTTATGCTCAGTTTTTCAACTTTGGTCAACACTTGAGTAAACCATTTGGGCAAAAAAGCAAGTTTTTGAACATTCTCGATTTCCAAATTAGTTCCCACACTTAAATGCTTACACACTGTACTTTCCAATATTATTTCATCATCTCTGCTTGGATTAGAAAAAAAGTTAGGAACTGGAAAGCCTCCAATATCTAAAGAGGCAAGGGAATTGTGCCCTAGGACTTTTGCCATCACATCAATAGAAAGGATTGGAAGTGGAACATCTTTCATGGATAGGGAGGTGAGTGATGGGTAATTGAGCTTTGAGGCTTCAACTTGCAACTGAGGGCATTTCTCAATCATAAGAGTTTCTAAACAGGGGAGATTGCCTGGCAATTTTCTCAACAGATTGGGACAATTCTTAATAACAAGCTCACTGACACAAGCAAAGGGCTGAACTCCCATAGCATCTTCACCTGTTTGCCAATCTTCCCATTCCTGCATATCTACAAAGCTTAGTTCTTCCAGTAGTGGGAAAGGCTTGGCAAAGTCTTGCCCATAAAATTCACGTCCAACACACTGCACTGCTACCATTCCTTTAATGAAAACCTTCTTAAGTACTGGTAGTCGTCCCAATTGCGGCAAGCACGTGCAATTTCTACAGCTTTCCAAACTTACAGTCTCCATGCTTGAGAATACAGGATCTCCCATCCAATATGGAAAACTTCTTCCATGGTAGCCACTTATAAGCAACTCTCTTAAATTCTTGGGAGGTTGTAGAACATCAAAAACTTTTGCTCTTACACTTTGATCTTGTAATTCATCTGAAGTCTCACTCCATAACAATGATAATTTGCTCAATCTTAGTTTGTTTTTCAAATTGGCTTTCCGTACATCTTCAACGTTAACTATGTTTTCTAATCCAGAAACACAAAGGGCCCCTCCAAGATGATTCAAGTCTCCAAGTTCCTTTATTCGAGACCCATTTCCTTTCGTAATGATGAAGTGAGACAACGTCTGCAAGCTTGTTAGCTTACCAATCCCTAGTGGCATTTCTTTTAGAGAACTAGGAAGAGAAAGGTGGCGTAGTTTGGTTAGCTTTCCCATGTACATGGAAATCTTATTGAGATAATTACATCCTTCAAGATTCAGAGTCTGCAAATTGTAAAGGTCACCAAATGAGTCTGGTAAGCTTTCAATGCGGCTGCAGGAAAGATCAATATACCGCAGATGTTTCAAATTGCCAATTGAACTTGGAATTTCTTTAATTTTATATTTTCTCAAACTCAGTTCTCTCAAGTAGCTTAGCTTTGGCAATAGATCAGAGGGAACACTCCTTCTCAAATAACAATATTCATTATTCAAGGAAAAGGGTAAGAAGGTCCGCAAATTCTCGGCATGGTAAAAGGTCTTAAATTTATCCATCCCATCATGATGACCTTGCATATATGATGCATACCGAGCCTTCATTAGATTTCTATGCTGCTCCCCATCCTTTAGGATGCCCTCTAGTCTAAAACATGACTTTCTTCCAACTTCACAAGCCAAATCATTGATGAGGTCATGCATTACAAATTTTGAAATTGTACTATTAGATAGTTGGAAAAAGGACATAGACACCAGTTCCTGAAAGTAAAATGCTCCTATGTCTTCCAATTGATCCTGTTCTGTTTGTTGCTGAATGAAACCTTCTGCCATCCACAACAAAATGAGCTCCTTCTCATCAAATTCATAGTCCTTAGGTAATATAGCACAATATGCAAAGCATTGCTTTAAATGTGGAGGGAGATAATGGTAGCTTAATCTTATTGCAGGGACAATATCATTTTCATCTTTGGATAAATTCCATATATTGCTATTTAATACTACTTCCCATTCTTCCTCCTGTTCTTTGCGTCGCAAAAGGCCACCAATCGTCCTAGCAGCCAAAGGCAAACCTCCACATTTCTCCACAATTTGCTTACCAATTGAAACCAACTTTGGATTTGCATTCATACTATTGTTCTCAAAGGCATATTGTGCAAATAATAACCAGCAATCTTCTGGAGATAGGAGGCTGACCTCTTGAAATTTAACGGTTCCCATCATTTTTGCAATGTCTCTGTTGCGTGTTGTCACCAAGACTTTACTCCCTTGGGCACCGTGGTTGAATGGGCTTTTCAAAGCAATCCAGTCGCCATGATTTTTGTTCCAAATATCATCTAAAACAATTAAGAACTTCTTCCCAGTCAAAGCATTTTTTAATTCACCTTGAACTTTATCCAAGCTGGTAAAGACACAACTCTGCGAAGTCACTGACTCCAGAATTACCTTTGTGATTCTCATAATATCAAACTCATCTGACACATAGGCCCATGCTTTCAGATCAAAAGCTTTCATCACAATCGGATCATTGTACGCCATTCGAGCCAAGGTAGTCTTACCAACCCCTCCCATACCCACCAGGGGAATTACTCCAACTTTGCCCTGACTTGAATCATTCTGGCGAAGCATCTCAATTAGCCGTTTCTCGTCCTGTTCCCTGCCATAAACTTGAGTCTCATGCATAATAGATGTTGTCTCTCGTCTCCGCCAAGTCTGGCCAGAAATTGTTCCAACAATCTTTTCCAATTTAAGATCCACGCTTTGATTAAAGCTATCATTTAATCTGCTAGTGATACTCTCTATCTTGGACTTCATCTGAGCATTAAACAGGATAGTAGTTGGCTTTAAATTAGTACAACAAGTTGGGATGGCGTTCCATACCTTGCTAGTCCTAGCTGGAGGGTCTGCCGTCAGCTTGCGTCGGAGAACTTCCGTGGAGAACTCGTCCACTAAATCATCCAAATCATAGGCCAAATCCTGGAGATCATCAAGCCACAAGTTGACACCTTTTCTTCTATTTGCTTCTCCTCTGCGTCAGCTAGAACTGCTTGGATTTTTGACAGTGTTCTTCTCCACTTCTTGAACTGATCCTCAATGCCCTCTTGGCGCACAAAGTTGAGCAGATCAACAGAGGCCATCTTCTTAAACAACAAAGAGACGAACGCAGAAATAACGATTTCTGCTATAGCCATTGTTTTACAACTCCGGAAACAGAGTAAGCCGAGATTCTTTTCAGGCAAAATGCTTGTTCCAGTCTCTCAAACTTTGGATTCTATTACTTAGAATTACTTAATGTAATCAGAAATGGAACATGTCAAGAAAAAAACAAAGAATTATTATAAAGTTTTAAATCATCACCCAACAGTTATCTATTTTTAAATAAAAAGCTGTTTAGTTTATATACTAACCGCGAATATTATTATATATCCATTTGTATTAAATGGTTGGTTTCCGTGACCAAGTGGGCTTCTTGGCAATTTCCCGTGAACAAAGAAATTGACGTTTTAAAAGATTAAAAATATTACTCAAGAAAAATAGTGAAATTATGAATACTTTCTTTCACTCAAGAACAAGTAGAACATATACAACAACCTAAGTGATCATGAGGCTTTTCTTCAAATTACTCTTATATCTTTTCAATAAATGGGTAAACATGAGTCATTAGAATAAGAGATTTTCTGATTCGTTGACTACATGTTGGGCTAGTCTTTCCTTTGTTTTCTCATTTTTGCTTTGGTGCTTATAGTTTTCTTTTTAATCTCATATGGTAATTAAACTTTCTTATCACCAGTTTCTTTCTTCTTCTTCCTTTCTTCGGAGGGATTAGAAAGAATATTTATAATTAACCTATGTGAGGAGGGGTAGAATCTACAATATATGCAAGGGAGAGGAATTGAAGTCAAGATCTTTCCTTGCAACAACACCCTTCATGCCACTTGGGTGTCACCTGTGGTTTGGAATTTCACCATTTTGAAAATAAAATTAAGGTAATTTGAGTCTTCAAATGCTGAAAGGCATTTTTAAATAGGCAAGAAGTGCTAAAATGGTCTTTTTAAGTAAATGGAGGGGGGGAGGGGTTAAATGGTATTTTGCCTCCTATGTATTAAGTATTATATATATTCTTGGAATGGTGGGTCTCACGCGGTAAGAAAAGAATTTAATATAGCATTTTTTATGTATTTTCTCAGATGCTCTTAGGATGGTGGGCCTTACGGGGTAAGAAAAAAGAAATGAGAAAGACATAAAATAAAGTTTATCGAAAATTTAAATATGATCCCTCAGGCCCTTGTCTTGGCTAGAAAACAAGCATATGAGAACCCAAAGCATCAATCAGTCAAAGCAATTTCCCTTTTAATATCATTAATCATGAAAAAACTATTTTCACTTTTTTGTTTAGTTAAAAACATTATGAACTAAAGAAATACAAAAAATGAGCAATAATTACTTGATGGTACGAGTAATAGCCAAAGAAATTCACACAAACAAAAATAATTCAAATTTAATAAGAATTGATTGTGGGGAAAAATATAATTAAAAATAACCTATAAAAAGTCAAATGTACTTTATAATTGGTTTTAAAAAATTTTAAGCTAAATCCTAATAAAAAAATCTAATTACAAACCTAATTTATACTTAGACCATTTAATCTTGTGGCTTAGATATCATAAATCTTTATACTCATATTGGTTGAATTTTGTTGATTCTTTTATCAAGTGCGATTGGAATAGTTGAAGGGATTGTTGACTTTTTATTGAAAAAATTGGTTGAGTCTAGAATGTAATATCCTAGAAAATTTAACAAAATTTTTGTGAATTTATTTTAATCCGAGGGCTCAATTGAAAGAATAAAAAGTTTCAAGGTCAATTTGAATAAATTAAGAACTTGATTAAAGAAATTTAAACTTTCAAATACTAAAATGAAAAGGTCAGGGACTAGATCGTAAGGAATCAAATAGCTCTGGGCCTAAATCAGAAAAAGTTGAAAAATGTTGATTTTATTCCCAAACAGTTGGCTGACCATTTGAGTATGAATTTGATGGTGATTCCGAGCTTTTTCGATTAATTGAGTCTATAAAAGGGATCACTGGCTTGAGAAGATTCTTAGCCCTTGATCAATTTGAAAAAAATAACTTGTTAGCCTTGTCAATTTCTCAATTTTTCATCTGACTTTTTCGTCCACCATTTTTGAGTTTTTGAGCTTAATTCCTTCAAATTAAGCTGCTTTTAAGCCAGAGTGAAAATCTTATCTTGGTCACCTTCCATTTCCGAGCCCCACTGCCAATTTTTGTGATAAAATTCCAAGTATAAAGCTTCCAATTTGTGAATTTCCGTTTGTTTGTTTTGTTTTCTATTTTTCCAGATTTTCGGGTTTGAAGAACAGGCCTGGATTGCATCTAAGTCTGTTCCAGACTTGCTGAACCCAGTAGGCCAGGCTTGCTAGGTTACTCAGTGGGCTGGGCCTTTTAGGCCTAGTGTTCAGTGGCCCACGCCCCGCACGTTGTGGGGCCAGGCCGGGCCAAGGCCTAAACCCGGATCCAAGATTTGGGTTCCCAAAAAAAAAGGGAATAATCAGAAATTTAGAAAAAAATTAAGAAAAATTTGGGAAAATTAGGGGATTATATTAGATGATTTTGAGCAAATTATTTAGTGAAAATCCATTAAATAATAAGTTTAATTTCCCAAATAATAGTTAAAAATAAAAGAAAAATATAGAAAAATTAAAGAAAAAATATAGAAAAATAGGAAAAAATTCCTGAAGTGAAAATTGAAGGATTTTGTGGCTGTTTCATGGATTCTAAAGTTGAGTTAAGCTAAGTTAGGCTGACTCAAACCGAGTTGAATTGAGTTAAGCCACGTTGGGCTGATTTGGGCCAAGTTAAGTTGGTTCATGCTTTCTAAGGCCGATTCACGGGTTGTTCATGATCAGTAAGGATATTAATAAAGGCTTTGGGACACAAATCCCTAAATTTATGTTATTAATGTATATTGTAAACATATTTAAGACTTATACTTGGTTATTCAATTGCTTTGTGATCATAAATCTCTCGGACGCTTCTCGCTAAGCCAAACCATTGAAAAACCGAATTGTCTAACTATCATTAGTTCTGTGAGTATAATATGCATTTATAAACAAATTCTATTTTAAACCTGATTTCTCTTGAAAACTACTTGATTATTGAAATTATTGGTATATCTACTTGACAAGGGACATATATGTCATTATTGAAATTATTTGGAAAAAGTCTCATGTTACTATTTTCGATACTATTTATATACAAAAAGTTCTGTATCCTGTTAAGCTATTTCTGTTAATTACTGAATATAACTTGTTTTAAGGGAGTCTCGGATTTGTTAGAACACTATAGCTAATGGTAGTAAGCGTTAGACTAGATGCACTTTGACTTGTATCTCCAACTAGCAGGGGTAGTGCTAGACTATCATATTAGGCCGACATGGTAGACCTGTTATATCTGATTACCGGTAAACTACAAGGTTGCCGTCTTAATTAATGTGTATCGGCAGACTATGAGGTTGTCGTCATGATTTCTATTCTATTATGTTTTGGATCACAAGATCCCTTAAAATTTTTGTAAATTACACTTTGCTTAAAAATTAATTGTGATTTCTATAGATGCATATTATTATTTTTCACTGAATTTCGTGACTCACCCTTTTAATATTTACCAGATTTGGAGTTCGATATTCTTGTAGACTCTGCCATCTAAGAAGTGACTACGACCCTGACTTTATTACTTTGGTTGTGGATGTTAGTGTTTTCTATCTAAATTTTGTCAGACTTTTGAAAATCTTGTTGTTGGGTTTCATTGACTGCAAATAGGTCCTTCTATTATGTATAATTGGATTTGTGAGCTTTTAATCCTGATTTAGTAATGTTTTGGATTTGATTGAGTTATCTTCAATTATTTGGATCTTGGTTTCTATCAGGCTTGTAGGATTGGAGTTAGTCTAATCCCTATACTTGTCACAGATCTGGCTACTAGGTCATGACAAAGTTGGTATCAGAGTTTTAGGTTACTTGCAGAGTAATCGTTCTTTTATAGAGTCTTGATTATGATTATGAGTTAGCCATTTTCATAATCGAGATGTTATCAAAAGATGATTAGGAGTCCTTTCGAATTTCGATTGTCATTGTAATTTTGTGTCCGTTCTTATCCTATCTTTTTGTATCCTCCTGAAAACTCTTGATAGATGGATGCACCTTACGAGAGCCCTATTCATGAGCCTGAAACTAAGGGATCAGCAATTCCAAATACCCAACCTGATAGGTTACTTTCTCCCCAAATTCCTTTGGAGGGGTCACCATCTGTACCAGCACGGGGAAGGGGTCGTGGAGGAACCTGAGGTAAAAGTAGGGGTCAAGGAAGAACAACCAACCAGGCTAGGCCAACAACGCTAGAAGAGGTTGCATGACCTTTGGATTCATTTAATAAAGCTGCTAAAGCTATACAAGGGATGTAGCAGACAATGACTAGTCTGCAACAAACCATGGTAGTCATAATGGAAAGGTTGCTCGATCTAGGTCAAGCAGGAATTCAAGTGAACTCAGGTCCTACCAGATAGCAAAATTAGTCGAATGAGCAACCGATCCATGCCCCGAGGATTCAAGGGATTTCCCCAGGGGTGGGATAGGGAATTCAAACAAGCATAGGACAAGGAATAGGGGACCCACTCAGCCACTACACATGGTAAGATATAGGACCTATAAATAATGGTGTCATACCAATGACTGCAAGCCAGCCTCAACGTGAGGCTAATCTTGAGACTCAAGTGCACGATTTTCTTAGGTTCAAGCCACCTACTTACTCGGGATGAGATTTTATCAAGGATCCTCAGCACTTTATTGATCAAATAGAGATTATTTTTGAAGTAATGGAGTGTTCTAGCTCTAGATGTGTGGAGCTAGCTGCCTACAGTTTGAATGACCTGGCTCGATCCTGGTACAAGACAACGCTAGCTAAAAAGCCTAGAGACGCAGCACCAATGACTTAGGAAGAATTAATGCTGCATTCATGGATAGATTTCTATCTGCCAATAAAAGGGATCAATTAGCGGTAGAGTTTGAATGTCTTTGACAAATTCCCAGTATGACAGTCCTAGATTGCGATACTCATTTTAATTATCTTTCTTGTGATGCCCCACACTTGCTATCTAATGAAAAAGTGAAAGCCAAG